TCACAATCAGAACTGATTATATCTGATTAAGATATAATATTAAAGATTTCATGTTTTTTAACAGACTTCTTACAGAGATTAGTAAAGATTGATTATCTTTTATAAAGAATTGAATGAATGTAATAGAGAAGAATGAGAATGCTAGAACACTCAAAGATAATTTTATGAAATTATGTTAAGATATTCTTCTATAATTATTAGCTACTGATAAATCTCTCATCTCTGATGAAAAGATCTCTGTAAATAATACTTAAGATAAGAAGAAGATCTCTGAGAACAAGAACAAAGATTTCACTAAGTTAGATAGAAAGAATAATAATACTACTAAAATATGTTATTATTATTAGAAGATTAATCACATTCAAACAGATTACTGATTGAAATTTCCTGAAAAACATTCTACTAGCTGTGATAAGAATAAGAATAAAGATAAGAATGCAGAGAATATGAGTACTACTTCTATTCATAATATTATAAAATAAGTATTTTATATTAAGAAAAAGATCTATATAAACAATCAGACAGAAAAAGATATCTGAATTCTAGACTCTGAATTAGATACTTATATTATATCTCACAGAGATCTTATCATGATAAAACCTTAGAAGATGAAAGTGATATTAAAAATGACAGATAGAACAGTGATTTCTGCTGCAGCTATAGAAGATATAAAGATTTCAGTGAAAGAAGCAGATATACTGTTAAATAATATTTACTATATTTCAAAGTTAGAAGTGAATCTCATGAGTATGAGTAAGCTTATATATCAGAGTTATATCTATAAGCAGTTAATATATAAGAATAATTATACTATATTAATTATGTCTCTTAACTGCATATTCTCATTTATAGTAAGATTAAGTGAGAATGATATCTATAAGATGAAAAGACTGATTATATACAGAGACTTAATTCAGTTTACTATACTTAATAATGATTTTAAATCTATGAATATATTACAGATAAAAGATGATATAATATTAATACTATCTAAAAGAAATAATACAAAGATTATAGAACTTACAATGATGTAATAATATTAAAAGCTAGAATATCTAAATTTCACAGATATTGTAAAAATAACAGTAAACTCATATCTAGAGATGAGAATTATTAATTAACAAGTTTTATCATTCTGTAAAGTCTGTGTTCAGATAAAAATAATATGTTCAATCTTTATATCTATAACATAAGCTATTAAGTCAGTAATGAGATTCTTTATCAATCTGATAGAAAATGAAAAAACACTTTTCAACAGAAATAACACTTTCACTAGAGAGAATGTAAGTTATTGATTGAGTATAACAGATAATACAACCTGTTTATATAACACTGAGTTGATAAATCATAATTTAATTGAAAAAGAAGAAATCATGATAAAATATGTTAATTCTACAGTAAACATAGCTGACAGACTTATCAAATCACTGATAAAGCCTGTATTTAAAGAATTTATTAAGAGAGTTAGTATTCAGAAAATTGAGAAGAAGAAATAATTGAATGATAATAATAATACAGTAGATCAATGAATTTTACATATATTTCTTGATTTTTATAGTTATTACTGTATAGATGTCTTTTCTAATAAGAAAATCAGAGTCTGATTAATGTAATTAATTATTATTACATTTTCAAAAGATTTGAGAATAAGAGAGACTCTGAGTGGCGGCTTATAGACTACAGTATAGCAAGGAAGAATGTTGATAATTACTACATCTACTCTAGTCACATGTCATCTCAATCTATTTATTTAGCTGTAACTCGCGTAGTTAGATTACAACATAACACAGTAGTCTACAGTTATTCTTCAAGATAACATGTTAATAATTACTACATCTACTCTAGTCACATGTCATCTCAACCTATTTATTTAGTTGTAACTTGTGTAGTTAGATTACAATATAACACAGTAGTCTACAGTTATTCTTCAAGAGATTATGAGGCTCTTTATAAGCAATAAATAACTGTAATAACATGTCAATTGACATCTTCATATGTTGTTACAAGTGTGTCTAGATGATTTATTAAGTGATTGAATTCATGATTAATCTAAGATCTGAGAGAATGTCTGACTTAATAAAAGAATACATGCTTTCAAGATGAAAAAATGAGAAAATATCAGAGCAGTAAACACAAGATCACAGATCACTATTAATATTAATAATGAATTAAAAGACAGCTTCTGAAGTATTTAAGTCAGATGATACAATTATGAAAGAACAATCTGATAAGTTCAATAATAAATACAAAGATCTAATTAAAGATATCAGTAAGATATCAGATAATACAGAGAGCTTAAGTGATTAGAATAATAATAGCTCTGTAAGTAAGAAGACTTATATAAGACTAGAAATTACAAGACTTCAGTATAAAGTCAAGTGAATAAAGACAGATAGAAGTGAAAATGAAGAGCTTAGTACAGATTTGATAAACTATCTTCAATGAAAGAGTAGAATATCTGCATTAATAAAGATTCTTAATGAATTCAGAAATTAAATAAGATTTATAAAGAAGTCTATTATACTCACTGACTCTGTAAATTATTCTATATAAAAGAAAGAGATTCTGCTCACAGTAAGATAATCTGAAATAGATGATATTCTTAATAATAAGCAGATCAATTCTGATGAGAATATCAGTATAAATATGTAATATTTTTAATCAGAATAGAATATCTAACTATATAACTATATATAATCTATGATCACTCTGCAGATCAAATCTCACTTTATTATACTTAAGAAGTTTCAACTATCTGCTTATTCTCTATAATCTGTTATAGAGAATAATTTCACTGAAAGATCTGCTATTTATAGAACTTATCTGTTTCAAGAATTAATTAAGATAATATTAAAATCAAAGAGTTCTGATTGCATATTTATTGAACATTTAATCACAATCAGAACTGATTATATTTAATTGAGATATAATATCAAAGATTTCATGTTTTTCAACAGACTTCTTACAGAGATTAGTAAAGATTGATTATCTTTTATAAAGAATTAAATGAATGTAATAGAGAAGAATGAGAATGCTAGAATACTTGAAGATAATTTCATGAAATTATGTTAAGATATTCTTCTATAATTATCAGTTACTGATGAATCTCTCATCTCTGATAAAAAGATCTCTGTAAATAACACTCAAGACAAGAAGAAGATCTCTGAAAACAAGAATAAAGATTTTATTAAGCTGAATAGAAAGAATAATAATACTATTAAAATATATTATCATTATCAGAAGATTGATCATATTCAAACAGATTGCTGATTAAAATTTCCTGAAAAACACTCTACTAGTTATAATAAGAATAAGAATAAAGATAAGAATACAGAGAATACAGATGCTGCTTCTATTCATAATATTATAAAGTAAGTATTTTATATCAAGAAAAAGGCCTATATAAGTAATCAGATAGAAAAAGATACCTGAATTCTAGACTCTGAATCAGACACTTATATTATATCTCACAGAGATCTTGTCATGACAAAATCTCAGAAGATGAAAGTGATATTGAAAATAATAGATGAAATGATGATTTCTGCTGCAGCTATAGAAGATACAAAGATTTCAGTAAAAGAGATAGATATACTGTTAAATAATGTCTGCTATGTTCTGAAGTTAGAAGTGAATTTTATGAGTATGAATAAGCTTATATATCAGAGTTATATCTATAAGTAGTTGATATATGAAAATAATTATACTATATTAATTATATCTTCTGACTGCATGTTCTCATTTACAGCAAGATTAAGTGAGAATAATATCTATGAGATGAAAAGACTGATTATATATAGAGACTTAATCTGATTTACTATACTTAATGATGATTTTAAATCTGTAAACACATTACAGATGAAAGATGACATAATATTAATACTATTTAAAAGAAATAATATAAAGATTATAGAACTTATAATAATGTAATGATATTAAAAACTAGAACATCTAAATTCTGTAAATATTGTAAAAATAACAGTAGACTCATATCTAGAGATAAGAATTATTAATTAATAAGCTTTATCATTCTGCAAAGTCTGTATCTAGATAAAAATGACACATTTAATCTTCATATCTATGATATAAGCTGTTAAGTCAGTAATGAGATTCTTCATCAATCTGGCAGAGAATGAAAAAACACTTTTCAACAGAAATGACACTCTCACTAGAGAGAGTGTAAGTTATTAATTGAGTATAACAGATTATACAACCTGTTTATATAATACTGAGTTAATAAATCATGATTTGATTGAAAAAGAGAAAATCATGATAAAATATATTAATTCTACAGTGAACATAGCTGACAGACTCATCAAGTTACTGATGAAGCCTGCATTTGAAGAATTTGTCAAGAGAGTTGATATTCAGAAAATTGAGAAGAAGAAATGATTGAATGATAATAATGATACAGTGAATCAATGAATTTTATATATATTTCTTGATTTTTACAGTTATTACTGTACAGATGTCTTTTCTAATAAGAAAATCAGAATCTGATTGATGTAATTAATTATTATTGCATTTTCAAAAGATTTGAGGATGAGGGAGGCCCCAGGTGGCAGCTTATAGGCCACGGTGTAGCAAGGGGGGGTGTTGGTGATTACTACACCTACCCTAGTCACGTGCCACCCCAACCTATTCATTTAGTTGTAACTCGCGTAGTTAGATTACAACACAACACAGTAGCCTACAGTTATCCTCCAAGACAACAATCTTATTACTAATGTATGTACATGTACATACTTTCTGTCTTCTCTGAGTAGTCCCTTTACTCTTTTTCACTATTCAATTAAGGAATAAATAGGTCTGCATTTTATACCATGAAAGATCAAGTATTATCTACTTGCATTCTCATCCCTTGGCAAAAAAAACAAAAAAGCAAGTGAACAAAACATCCCACGGCGGAGCTTCAGCTGGAGTCACCCCACACACCAACCCTCCAGTAACGTTAGTTACAAGTTAGTTGACGTTAACTTAGTTCCCCACTAACGGATGCTTGTTTGCAATATGGCCAATGAGGCTTGGAGCTATTCGAGTGTCATTTATTTTGGGGCAGAAACTGGGGTAGGAATATTTATCTAACGCGGTGTTTCATTGGATATATTGATTGCATCTTCTACCTCGTTTGAGGCTAATAGGTCGGGGAGTTAAGAGTGCGATACGATGGAGGAGAGTTTTTTTGAGGAGGAGGAGAAGGAGGAGGAGGAAGCTAAGGTCGCATTCCCAGTGTTATGAAATGGATATAAATTCAGCTCATGCTCATCCTTCGAAATTCATTTCTGCAGTTTCTTGTATTCAAGAAGCAGCAACCCAAAAAAAAAAAAAAAAAAAAAAGAAGGAAAGAAAAGAGAAACACAAGAATCCGGAGTCATATTCTTCTCTTCCTAGGCGCACAATTGCTAGCTCCTTTCTCGCCCGTTCATACGTACGTACGGCTTACTCCACGCCCTCCGATAAACATGCATCATCAAATATCACCCGCAATATTATACTGGGGAACCCCTGTCGTTCTCATCACCAGCGAAAACACAGACGGCACATCCAACATCGCACCCATGTCCTCTGCCTGGTGGCTGGGAGACCGATGCATGATCGGCCTCTCAAGCGGAGCGCACACGAGCAAAAACATCCTCCGCACCAAGCAATGCGTCCTCAACCTACCCTCCGAGGACATGACAGCGCACGTCAACGCCCTCGCACGCACAACGGGTGCCAATCCGACGAGCGCGTGGAAGGCTAGCGTCGGCTACCGGTACGTCAAGGACAAGTTCGCCCATGCCAAACTCACGCCACAGCCGTCGGAATTGGTTGTGCCATGTCGGATTCTGGAATGTCCCGTGCAGATGGAGGCGGAGTTGGTGAAGGTCAATGAGATGATGGGTGATCTGCCGGAGAGGAAGGGGTCAATATTGGCGATGGAGCTGAAGATATTGCGGGTGTATGTCGAGGATGATTTGCGGCTAGGTGGGTATGCGAATAGGATTGATTCAGAGAAGTGGCAGCCACTTATTATGTGCTTTTCGGAGTTCTATGGGATGGGGAAGCACAAGTTGGTTCCATCTCGGCTGGCGGAGATTGATGAGGAAGCGTACCGTTCACCACGGAAAAATGGAGTGATGCAAGTCGCTGTAGCTGATGAGAAGACGTGTAACGATGAGAGCAAAGACGGAGAGCATGCGAGCAGCTTGTGTGTGCTTCGGGTTAGCTAGAATGAGCTTTCCATAGTTAACCTGTGAGATGGCGTTAGCTTCTGGCTGTTAGACTTGTTCACGTTCCAACGATAAAGTGCATAGAAACATAGTTCAGGCATCAAACCTTGCAAGAAATAATTACTATTTCCTATTAATCGCATTTTATTGTTGCACCAGGGATAAATTTACCAGATCCCTAGCATAAGCAAATGATTCTGATCATTTAGCTTTGAACACATATTGATATTTCCTGCTTACCATGAGGGTAGCTAGGATTTCTGCGCTGCCAAAAACATGCCACCACCGATGTTTTGTAACAAGGCTTATTAAATGATTCTTGCCTTCCATCTTTCGCTTTCAATTTCATTTTTATTGTTGAGATCCGATAGAAGGCTGAACTTAGGCGCCACGGGAACGCGCATTTCTACTGTAGCCACGACCATGGTCTCTAGGCGGCCGAATGCCTTCGAAGCTTCTGCCGGTAATGACAGACCCGATTCGACGCCATAATGAGAGACTGGCGGCTGACTCCTAGAAAACTTGCTTCCTCAAGCCCCCAGGAAACCGTGAAAAATGTGCACGTCAGCTGCACACCAAACGGACTGCATTTATCGCCCTCTGCAATCACGGACATGCATGGCAAAGATATTTCCGATGTTCAATGCAATATTGATAGAACCATTAAATATCTGTAAATCAACATCCTTCCCCCTTTCCTCTTCCCCCCCGCCCCATTAATATTTCTGGGCCTCGTGAAACGGTCAGAGCTTCTGCACAGTGTTAAACATGAGAGAGTCTCCAGGTTAATTATTGGTAATCCGTATGGAACTAGGAGTAAAATAGGCTGACCAGAGACCATGCCTACGCAGTATTCCGGGAGACCTACGAAGCATAAGTTAGCCCTGGGAAACAGTTTGGTCAGCTGGCCTCAAAATAATAGACCGTGGCAAACTTATGTAGTAGTAGTAGTAATAATGCAACCCCCGGAGCATCGGGTTTACCTATTACTGTACTCCGTAGTAGTTACAGTACTGAACGCTCCCACTCGCCGTGTTGGGCCCCAACTAACTGCTACAAACCCTGAGCCTGGAGAGTCGCAATTAGCACGTCGCTTGCTCAGGATTGTGATAACGAGGCTTGGTGATGATGATGATGATGATGATGATGATGATAAATACGCGGTATTTTCTACTACGCCGGCTCAGTTAGCCGAACCTCGAACTCAATATTTACAACAGTTATTATTATATTTGCCGCCCAAGAGCATTCAACAATAATGACCTCACACCCTTGCGCTATCTACTTCGTCACAGTGAAATCGAATAAGGATCGCGGCAATTGAGACCAATGGACGAGTCAACAGCTTCCAGCATGACAATACTAGTCCCTCTCCTCTGCCCTGTGTGGACTTCTGCTCCCATCCAGCACCCGCTTTTTGCTCTGTTTAACAAGTGATTTGGGGAACGGGACGCAAATCCTACTATGTTAGTCCCACTTAATAATGACCAGGTGCCCCATAAAGCATTTGGAATCTTGCTGTCATTTACTCCGTACTGCGACGGACTATTCGCGCGTTCAAAGATCGTTGACTCGCAACCTGGAAATACTGGCAAATCCTGCACCTATCTATCCCACGGAAAACCTACAATAATAAGAATAATTATACTCCGTATTTGTTCAAAAGACAACGCTCACGCTGCCCGGAAGCAGTATATACGGTGGCGCGGGGGCGGGACTAAGCTACGCGCAATGGCTTGCCCTATGGCCCCTAACTACCAGTTTCAAACTACGGACTAGCATGTTTTAACATTTGCCTGGACCCTGCAAAAACAAAGTGAAGCAGTTTTACATTTTGCTCCGCGGATGAGAACTAGAACTTTAAACATTTTTCTTTTAGCTGGGCCTGGTCCGTCCGTGAACTCTGGAACTATTCTACGGAAGGGAATCCATTATTGGCGGTAGCATCACCGAGTGACACAACGCGGATCAACCACTGGCCCCCTGCTGGGTCCTTACTCTGGGGATGGGCCCTGGTTATCATACTCCGTACTCCGTTACATGAATGAGGATTCGTCCCGGCGCACCCGCTGTCATCCTTCGGAACTGATGCGGGTCGCTACCGAGTGCTACTGGGTGCAACTGGGATGTTTGTGATGTGGCGTATTCTGGATTGCCCAAGTTCAATTGTTCTTGTCTACTTCGAGATCATCTTTACCTCTCTAGGTCCCTGCTAACTCGCCATATGACGTAGCAGTGTCACTCTCCGTACACTATTCGTTGGTTCAAGATGCCGGACATCCAGCTCCCAAGCGATATCTTCTTTATTAATATACGGAAAGCTCCACTCTCTGCTTATTTTGACTTCCGTTGGAAGTTTTCAACATTTTTCGTTATTTTCCCCCAAGGGGCAACTTCCCGGCATCCCCCGATCTAGGGACAACTTGGAGTCTACTCCGGTGGTGGTATGATCATGAACCACCTGTCATTATACCAATGGGAGTGTACCAATTGCAAAATCTACCTTGTTTTATCCTGTTTGACGTTTTTGTCGGTCCAATCCTTGGAGCAGACATGGTCCAGATTTTACCTATAAATACGTCGGGGAACTGTGGCCATGGATGAGTATCAGGCCAATTCCTTTGCATCTCCGCATTCGCAAGCAGAGAATCATTTCCTAGGTTTCGAATTGATCATTTTGTGGGACTTCGAAATATCTTGAAGGCTCTCCAGAGTTTCCTCGTCCCGTCGACAAAGACATCATGATGGAGTCGCAGTTTGCTAGGATAGCTTGGTCCCGTTCAGTGGAGAGAGCATCATCCAAATCAGTCATGACCCCGGGATCTCGATCGTTGAGAGGGCTATGCATATCCTGCAGGCATGACGGACCCCTGTTCATCACTGAGGACGAAATTCTAACGGTGTTGCGCAGATCCAGACCACTTAATTCTACTCGATTATCCATTGTCGCGCGAACCCAACGTTCCAACATGTCTACGGAGGCCAGTAAGTATGCTCTATACTAAAACCAGTATACATTGCATCCAGTTGCTGAGATATATAACTATCAACATTAGCTCCTCCAAAATTCCCCTTCTCTCGCCCATCTGGAGCTATTCCCCCACTGGAATATGCGAAGCTGAGAGCCACGAACCCCATTTCTAGAGTTACTCTTTGGGATAACAGTCAACCATGGCTTGTAGTCAAGTACAAGGATATCTGCAGCGTTCTTACGGACCAGCGCCTGTCAAAGGTATGGGCCATCAGCTCTCTTTTGGATCAGAGGAACGTAGGAGTGTCTAATAACATCGGTTCCCTACCGTTTTGCAGGAACGAACACGCGCTGGGTTCCCAGAAATGAATGCTGGAGGGAAAGAGGCTGCTAAAAACCGCCCAACATTTGTAGATATGGACCCTCCAGACCACGGGCGTCAGAGGTACTAAACTGCAGTCTCCTTGGGGGGTGAAGCATGTTTCATGAGGCTTACTGACACACTTCATATAGGAGCATGGTTGCTTCACTTTTCACCAGGGAGCATGCTGAGACGATTCGGCCACATATCCAAGCCACGGCTGACACTCTTCTCGATGAAATGATAAAGAAGGGTTGTGAGAAGCCTGTAGATTTGGTCCCAAATTTTGCTCTACCGCTACCATCATACGTTAGTTTCTGCTTCTTAAAGCTAAGTCTTTTGACGAATTTGGATACTGACGTCTATACTACATAAATAGATAATATATGGGATGCTGGGTGTGCCGAAAGAAGATCTCGAATATCTCACCCAATGTAACGCCGTCCGTAGCAATGGAAGTTCCACCGCTGCAGCTGCATCTAATGCTAATAAGTGAGTTCTGCCTTTGTTGGTGTCTGATTGTCAAGCTTGCTGACTAGATTTCGAATGGCGATAGAGAGCTTCTGGACTACATCGGCAACTTGACTGATAAACGGCTTGAAAACCCAGGACAGGACATGATTAGCAAGCTTGTCGTGGAACAGGTAATGTTCTAATCTTCTATTTCCCTGGATGTGTAAAAAATAAAAATAAAATACAGTACTAACCACGATCCCTATAATCACAGCTCAAACCTGGCCACATTGACCGATTGGATGCCATACAAATCGCCTTTTTGATGCTTGTTGCCGGAAATGCCACTCTGGTGAACATGATATCGCTTGTACGTTTTTATAACCCGGTACTATTACGTGAGAATTGCCGTTTGCTAATGAACTTTCAGGGCGTCGTCACTCTTCTCCAACATCCCGAGCAATTGGCAGACCTCAAAGCCAATCCATCTCTCGCGCCCAAATTTGTTGAAGAACTCTGCCGCTTCCACACGGCATCAGCGATGGCCACGAGGCGGGTTGCGAAGGAGGACATCATGCTTGGCGGTCATGTACGTTGTAGCATCTTTGTATCCAATCTCTGACAACTGGGTGCCTTTCCCAAATGCTAACGTGTATGGTTCCCTACAGCTCATCAAAGCAGGCGAGGGAATAATTGCTGCCACCCAATCCGGCAACCGAGATGAAGATGTCTTCCCAGACCCAGATGTCTTCAATATGCACCGCCAGCGCGGTTCTGAGCTAGCTCTAGGTTACGGATACGGTGAACATGTGTGTGTCGCTGAGGGACTGGCTCGAACTGAGCTTGAAGTTGTTTTCTGTAAGTCATTTTGGAATAGATCCTCGTCCTCCACTTAATTCGCGTCTACGTATTACTAACATATAAACACAAAACAGCAACGCTATTCCAACGACTACCAAACTTGAAGCTTGGGATCCCACTATCTGAGGTCAAGTATTCTCCACCAGATGGTGATGTTGGCATCACGGAGCTGCCTGTGGTTTGGTAAAGAGGTTTTACGTTACTAACCGCTTACTTCCTTCAACTCCCTCCCAACTCAGGGTTCCCAAACTCCACTCTTTTCTACATCATTATTTAGATAAAAAGGAAAACTTTCCAAAATTTCCCTAAAAAAGGCGGGTTATTAGAGCCGAAGCAATAATAGAATTGCTCTAGATTAGACATTTTAATGGACATCCTTTATTTATTTACTACTTTTGCTAAACAAATTCGATCGACATATTGAGCGGCTCAAACTTAAACCAGCTAACTAGCTGTCTGGAGGACTACTGTTCCTCGACGCGAAGGATCATTGAACAATACGACTCGACGCTGGTCGGGCGACAATGCAATACGAATCAAATCACCACCATTTTGACAAAAATTCTTCCAGAGATTCAATTTTTTCATCTGGAAAAACGGTCTTGATATCTACCCCCTGCGTAGTTTTGTCGTCCCACCAAAAGTCTCCCTCGAGGATACAAACGGGTGTGGTCCAAATGAATGTTCCCATCATATCATTCGCTTTCTCTGCCTCCTTTATTCTGCTTTCCATATCTGCGATTGATATGCGCTCGATTTCGAATGGTTTTCCTAATTCGATTTTCGTGAATATACGATATATAAAAGCTTCTCTTTAAAAGGGTGGTAGTGGGCCCAAGGATTCAGGATTCTCAAATTCAAACCTGTCATACATACCTCTGACCTTCTCACAAATCCCAATAAGCTCCTTGCAAGTAAGATTCTCCCCGGACATCATAAACTGATCTGGCCACTCCTCCAGCTCCAAAGCCTTCGCCACGAACTTCCCAACATCATCAACCTCGGTAAACCGCATCCTCTTCTCCTCCATCCCATCCACAAGTTGCGCGCGACAATTCTTCAGATCAACCACCATATCAAACCCAATCGGCTCGAGCGATTCACTGCTCATATGCCTCTTCCCATCCTCAGTCATCGGCGAGTAATAATCATAGAAGATCCCCGGCGTGAATAGCGTGCACTGGATCTTCTCCCGAACCGCTGGCGAGGCAAGGTGGGATAATACTTTCCGCTTCGCAGCCAAATAAGGGTAGCGGTCTTTGCGGGTGTGTGGATCGAGTTCGAACTCTGAAGGCACGAACCGGCGAATGCCTGCTGCAATGCATGCGTCGACTAATCTAATCTGGCCCTCCGCGAATGATTTGTCGTCGAAGCTTGCTGCGGTTGATATACATGTATCGATACCGCGGAGCGCCTCCGTCAGTGAGGACTTGTCACTGTAGTCGACTTTACGCCATGTGATGCGCGGGTCATTAGAGCGCTGAAACGTCAACTCGTTAGCGACAATGATATTGTAGCAGCTACTGTAGAGCACTGAGGACATGGAAGAACATGGCTATATGGGGTCTTGCAAAATAGAGAGAATATGCATTTCTCATTTGGAAAAATTACTGACGGGCTCTCCTCTTGTCAAGACGGTCACAGAATGTTTCCCTGTTGCGAGAATTCCGCGCAGAATATGGTGCCCGAGAGCACCGACACCCGCGATGGCTACTTGCATCGTGGAGTTTGGCTTGTCACGCTACTCTGCTTTCTTACGATGGTTTGGAAATGAGTATTCTTCTTGCGGGTTTCTGAATGGCGGCTCGGCTCATCTATCAGGAGTTGAGGCCTGCTTCATCAATGGGGTTTTCAGGATGACTCATTTGCATGCGGAATACGAGGGGATTTCTCGAACTAAAAAAAGAAAAAAGAAAGAAAATTGAGGATTGTCGCCCAGATCGCGCACGAGTGTTCCGTACGTACCGCGGAGTATAAGATGAAATTGGTCAATGAGGATATCTACGATCACGCAAGAAATCAATTTCCTCGAGGCTTGAGTTCAAAGTGTACAGCTACAAAGAAAAAAAGGATGCAATGCAGCAGGTTAGAGATATACCGTGCTGAAAGAAAGGACGCCATATTACAACTAATAACTCGAAAACCGGAAGACAAGCTCCAGTAAGCTCTCCAGATTTGTCATGACTTGTCATTTTTTAGAATGACCACTTGATGCCCAACGGCTCTTTGCCCGGAGCTGTGCTCCATATCTATAAAACAAATACCTAGCTAGATGTTAGGACGATGTAGGATCCAACACAAGGGAGATCCCTAACTGTTACTCACGGGAATGGCATCATCGCAACAGTGAAAAACCCAAGAAGCGATGTTGCCCATTGATATCCCAGCTTTTCGTATACTATTTTTTTTTTTTTTTTTTTGGCGTGCAGAAGTTAGCCGCGCCGCGGGGCAAACGACTGGTTGTCGAAACTATTGGAACTTACATCGAACACCAAATATAGGAAAGGCGGCTGCAAAGATGCTTCTTAAGATCAAGTTCGCACCCATAGCACTTGCCGAATATAGTGGATATGCATGTACAAGAAAGGTCAGAATCCCATTGTACGAGAGGACGACGCTGGTGAATTTCATTAGTGCCGCCCAAAATCTCCAGCCAGTTAGATCTGACGTACCCAGCGCTGAAGAAGCCACTGCCGATAATTGGGACAATCCAGTGAATGGATTTATATGTCGTCCAGCCGAACCAGAACATACCAAGAGGAAGCAAAATCGAAGACGCAATTGCAGGGGGTAGTCTGTATTCTGGCTCACTCTCCCCTGGCTCTCCTCCGTTCGCCTCCCTTTGACGCACAAGTCGCCGATAGTTCCAGTTCCATAATGGATGCGTAGCAAAGGAAGTTATGGTTCCGAAAAGTAAACCGAGAAACGATAGGCCAACTTGATATAGTTCGAAATCGTAATTATGGGTAAAAACAGCATAGAAAGCACCAAGGAAGAGGTAGAGAATTCCAAGGGCTACGGATGTATAAACACAAAGACATGTTATCATTGGCTCGAGGAATAGCAATTGCAGCGGCCGCGCAAACGACCACATCACCTCCGTTGCGATTGATTTATCAGTCTTTTCGATCCAGGCATAATAAGCTCGACCAGTCTCCCTGCGTAATCTCTGTGCCTTGTGGCGTAACAGAACGGGATGGTATGTTTCAGGCATAAGAAAGACCATGCAAATCAGCAGGGAAGCGCTCCAGATTATGACGACGTAGAATGACCATCTCCTTCGCATCGTAATCAAGTAATATAGCGAGTTAGCCTTGTGCTGCCTTCGTCCGGTTGATATCACAATTGAGTTCACATACCAGGAGGTGTATTGGTTAATAAATCCTCCAACTAGCGGCCCAATGATGGGGCCCATGAATGGAATAGCAGTATAAACCATCATTGGTCGCTGCAAATCATCCTGAGAGAAAAGATCTCCGATCGACCCTCCAGCAACTGACATAAATGCACTGCTCGAGAATCCACTAAAGAAGCGCGATATAAGCATTGTTTGGATGTTTTGGGCAGCCGCGCACGGGATTAGCCATAGAATGAAAAGTACCATGGCGACTAGGTATACGGGACGGCGGCCATAAAACTACAACTCGTTAGTGTGATTGTGACTAGATACTTTGTCCGTGAAAAATGATTAGGTTATGAACCGAGGGACTTACTTCGGATAAAGGAGCAAGAAACAGAGGGCCAACTCCAAGGCCCAATATGAAGAGAGACAGGCCAAGAGTTGCAACGAGCGTTGAGCAGTTGAATTCCACTGTGATCTGATCATATGTCATCGTGTATAGCGCGGAGGTGAAAATCCTATGCTTCGTTAAATTCAAGGTCATTTCGTAATATTTCCTTCCATATATATGATTGTTTGCTTACGTGCACAAGGAACAGAGAGTTATGATGGTAACCATAGACCATCGCAGGATCAGAGAAAAATTTCGCGGGTCCGCTGGATCATCTGGGCCGTCCCAGCGGACCTCAAGATCCTCATCCTCTCCATTTTCAGGGCTGGGAGTGGTTGGTAAAACAAGAACTTCCCATGTATCCTCTTCGCCCAGCATTTGCGTCCGGCCATTGTGTTGATATTGTGTATTGGCGTGGGTTGAATTCCTCTTCGAATAGCACGCGCTGCCCCGACTATTCGCACTCATAATCACAACCCCATCACTTAGAGGTCTACGAGGCCGTTCTCCGCTGGTCAGCATATCAATGCGGGAGAAGAAGAAAGGACTCAAATGCGAATTGAAAAAAATGGCTGCACTCTTCTGTAGCCAAATATTTGAAGCTTCACGCCAGTAGATATTTCGTAGAATAAATCTGCATTTTCGAGTTAGAATATCAACTACCTATAGACATCATGTGTGGATATGGGATCTTACTTGCACCGAGTAAAAACAAGTGAGACGAAAATCGCCATAATTTATTTTCCCCAAGAATATTAGCTAGGGCAGATGAAAGGATATCAGAGTCGTTTATAAAGACAAGCGTAACTCCTAATAAGATTTGCCGTCATCTTTGCCCGAATGCGACTATAGTGAGAACTTTAGGGTTAGATATGAATGCGCCTTTCAGATATCAGGCTGATCGCGTCTACTGTGCGAAGATAATGCACTATCCCAACAAACTATGACGCTGTCCTCCAAATCCTACATCGCACACAAGAGCCATCTAGCTGCTATCCTCGTCGTACCCGAACGCGCCTAGTTCGCTCGCCTCAAGGCCTTTTATTAGTATCCGAAAACATCTTCGTTCACGAAGCCGATGCAATGTCTGAATGGAAGGGCCCATTATTTTACTATCGATGCACTGTTCTTCCTGGAAAACTGAGGATTGTATCAAATTTCAGCTCTTGCGTTTGTGCTCCGTATGTTCCCAGCGAAATGCGTCTTGGGAGATTTCCAAGCCACTGAAAGCACCAGTCGACTATTTTCATGTCTCACAGACATAATTAATAACAGCCGGAATCCGAAGAATTGTTTTCCAATGCCTGAAGCGAATTGGCTAGAAGAAGCCTGCTCGTAGGGCGAAGGCTTGACAGGGGTGCTTCGGCCTTTAACCCGATTTAGATAAGCTTAAACATAAAGTTTACAACCTTAATTTATCGCAAGCTTCCTCCTGCTGCTTGCCCACTTGCCCTGGCATCAATAGTGTTCCAAGCTTGCGTATTCCACAATCTGCCTAGCCCGTTTAAATTTCCCGTTAGTTTATTTTGAGCTTGCAATTCGTTCAAATAACGAGATCACCATGCCGCCTCGAAACCGGAAAGAACGTCGAGCAGCCCAAGCTTCATCCGCAGCCGGCGATGACGGCTTTGACCCTGCGTCAATCCCCCTCCGCCACCCTCCGACAAATAACCCCTCCCAAAAACCAAAGGCCAAAACACTCTACGAGCTCGCAGCTGAAAGAGAAGCGGAGCTAGGACGATCCAGGTCAAAGACCAGCCTCGAGCCACCACCAGGCACAGAATTCGTAACTATTTCGCCCGAGGGAGAAATAGTCCGAGCCAAAGACTCTAAATCAACCACAAACAATCCACACAGCAATCCATCTTCTGCGGACGACGAAGTCGATGCTGATGAACCAATTCCCCCGCTCCCAGACACGATACTTCTCTCTCTGCCCCTCTCCGTTCTCCACCTTACACTATCATTTCTCGCCGCGCATCAGTATGCCCAAGACATCCCCCTCCGACAACTCATCCAGAACACGATATTTGTAGCATTCCCTGTTCTCACTTTCGTCATCCATCTTGCTCATGGCCATATTATTTCGTTCGACAGATTCACTTTCAGTGGCAAATCAGGCAAACAGCGGGACGAAAAGGACCAGAAAACGGGACCTGAGGACTCTGCAAGTAATAGCAAATCCTTGCTTGTAAGGGCCATTACATATTTCCTACCCCCTTCGGCAAAGTCCATGGTATTCCTTCCCATAGCCTTATTTTTCGGTGGGCGGTTAATATCTATGACGAATGAAGCGTCCTATTATGCTGTGATGAAAAAGACACCTTCTATCGGTACACTATGGGTTTGGGCGGTGCTGGAGCTTCCCTTAGTGCCAGCTATTTTTGGAGTTTTGGGCCCAATCGGCTGGGCTGTTCTATATAAAGGATACGGGATTATCTGAGCTGTTTTTGAACACGAACAGCGAAGCGGCGTGGGATGTTATTTCCTACGTTAAATAACTATGTCTTAGGCAGGGCTATAATCACTTTCCGGCTTGTTCCCGTTTCATTGCATTATGCGAGCTCGGAGAGCACTGATCGGAAGTGGAATGTGGAATGTGTGTGTGGTACTGTACTTCCGATTTTGATACTGGATGGCACAGGAGGTATGCAGGGACATAGACACAGCTCTCACTCCTGTGTATTGAGCTCGAGGGTACAATGGGGAAAAAAAACAGTCAAGCACGAAATACCGAAAACTATAGCTACGACAGCCTTATGGAATTGATAGGGAAACCTAATTCAATAATCACTTCTAAAAATGAGAGACATATTGTCCATCAATATAGGTCCCAAGATAAAATTTCCCGGGCTGGCCGTATGCGGGCCAATACTCATTATTGTTTGGCTCATGTGTTCCTAGGTAGTTGATACGCTCAATCCGATTTTGGCAACTAGCGGCTAATGCAAGCTACACCAAGCTGCATGTTCAATTTTATGCTCTCCGTTTCTGTGGGCTTCTCTAGGATTTCCACAGATGCCGTTGCCACCTTGGAACATAAAAATTACAAGAAGGACAATGTTTGAGCTCATTTGAATCTATTTCAATCGGCGCCCCACCAAGGTGGCAAAATCAACCTCCAGATGATGCAACTACCCGTCGTCGCTGCTTGGCCGCATGTGCTTGGTATTCGAGCCATGAATGGACTGCCTCGACCAAGCAAGATAGCCCTAGAGCAAATTTGACATGTTAGTAGGTGGTGATGGTAAGTTTGCGTTGGAGTTAGTCTCTCTTTCTTTGCTGTTTGAGTTAGTTTATGGGAGATCTGCGTTCTTTTCTACTATTATTACACTTTTGTGCATTTTAATATTCCAATATGTTGACGCTGGAGAGGTACGATTGTCCGTTTAAGTCTATGGCCTGGAAGAGCCTCTCCCCTTACATTTCACCTGTCTATCTGTTAGCTCTTTGGTTTACAACTAGTAGGGTACAGGGAATGTTCAGCCTGCGAATCAACTAGAGTAGAGTAATTATTTTATGGTAGAGCAAAACTGGCAACCTGTTAAGATACTTCGGGTCTACATTAGGGATGACTTAACAATGCAAGCAGAGTCAAAAGATCCCGAAAAATACAATAATTAAAAAAAACAAGAAAAGCAAAGCAAAGAGATATCTGAAGATTTCTTTAATATGATTTAATTCCTAACTTGCTTTCATCCTCCACGGGAAATAACTATTTAACTACACAACGATTTTCCAAATCCGAGTAATTTTCCAAATCCGAGTAACTGCTTCGTTTCTTTGCTTCCCACTCATGCTTTCGATCCATTTCCCCATTACTGTCGGCCAGGTCATACAGAACCAAAGATAAATAAGGGGAACCAGACGGTACCAAGGGACACAAAGGAGAACATAGTAATAAACGTAAAACTAACAATAAACATTGAAACTATTCGGAAAACGTATGGGGAATCAGGTGAATAGATATCAAATAAACGACTCTAGTAACAAACTATTTCCAAGGACAATCATTAAACGGAATCGAGGAGCAAGTAACCATCGGAGAAAAGAAAGATGAAAAGAAATTAATAACCGTACAGATCCCATATGTCCAACTCCAATGCTGTTTAACTTTTGTTTTAAAACAAGTAATCAGAGAATAATACTCAGCGAGGAAAATTAAGATAAAATAGAGGAATTAGTGATACGCGTGAAACATATCATGAAGAAGTACTCGAATAAAAACCACTTATGAGAATCGTAACGCGTTTTTCTCAGCAGGGTGCTCGAGAAAGGGGACATAATAACGGGCGCTAGGCGAAAGAAAATTGGAATATTTAGGTTGATATGGGTAAGGGCAAACATTTGAACGTTCGAATGTTAAAAGGTCAGGCGAAATCAGTAAAAAGCGCCAACCATGAGGCAAAATACCGATGCGGGAATATTTTTGCCATCACTGCAACAGACCTTCAGCGATATCAGCGGCCGACGAGTGAGAGTGACGGGAATCTTGTGTTGGCGTGTTCAATTGCGGCTCTGTTTCCAGATCATCTACCGTTAGACGGTGCCCCGATTCCCGCTGTGGGGCTTGTTGGGAGGCTTCACTGGAGTTCCCTTGATGGTGTGGAGAGTCATCGAAAGCATTCATTTGCTCAAGCTCCTCGTAATCCGGTAGAGGAAGGGGTGAGCCAGTGTAGTCTTCTATGCTACTGGAGGCTCTATCGGGCATGACATACCCTGGTGGACTGTCAGGGACATCATCATACACGGGTGGCATCTCCTCATCCCAACTTATTCCCAAGCCACCACGTTCTGTGACATGCAGTGGAAACACCATACGCAAGACTCGGGCTGCGCCAGTTGGGGTGAGGAATTTGGCGTTGTTTTCAGGGCAATATTCCTCTGAAACAATTTGCTCCATAACAAGATCGTGTCTGACCTCCAAACCTCCCTCAGGGGTAGGCGAAAGGTGACATAACGGGTTCGCGCCTGGTCTGATGTTGGCTTCGAACTCGATGTGTATTTCCCCACCAACAGTATCGAAATCGCTCTTCCATCCGGATCTCTGCTCACCATGACCGATTATACGTGTCGATTGGTGTAAAATTCCTTTTCCCTCAGTCACTTTGTGAAGGTGTTTAGGGCAAACATGGGAGATGATACTCTGATGCTCTTCGATCCGCCACATTGTCTTCCGTAAACGCCATCTAATGCGGCCCCCTTCCTTTCTCTCCACAACGCCACAGAGGGTTAACTGAATGGGGAAATTTCCAATTGGGTGAACTACGGATGGTAGGGTAGCCCGTCCCACGAGGTTGGTTGGAGGAAAGATTCGCATTGAATATTTATCGGGTCCAGGCATGACCGCTCGCTTTATTTTGATGGGTCTGTTGAGACAGAGTTCCTTCCCAGATGTAGTCACGGCGCATGCAGTTAAGTTATATGAAACCGCACCTAGTGACCCTTGGGTTGTTGGTTGCAAGTTGCCAGCAAACAAGTAGCTAAATGGATAATCATGAATGCCGCTTTTGAGGTGGGCAGGCTCTGTCAAGAATTCCCAGCTGGTCAACTCCTCAGTTTGATATTTGCAAGCTGAACAATCTCTCGAAACGGGTTTTTTCGTAGAGACTTTTCGGGTCAAACACATCCGCAGTGCCTTAAGGGTGATTTGGCCTGGTACATCCGAGACTGAGAGCAAAAGACGACCTGACATCAATGCGCCAGTAGAGCGACTGGGGGGACCGTATAGAACCAATGGGGGGGACTCGATGGTAATATCCAAGTTGGCGGGAGGTAAGCGGTTATCCGATGATTTATCCCCAGAGCGCAAATGGATCAAATTCCGCCTCTTCTCCTGATGTCCCCAATGGCGATACGGGTGGATCAAATGGTCCATTGAGAACGAAAGACGACGCTCTGGACTATCTGTTATGGAGGCTGTGCTCCTTTGGGAAGATGACGATGAGGTAGATCTGATAGTATCGTGATCGCTGCGCTCGGGAAGTAGATAGGAGGAAGCGGACGTCGGGAACCCGGACGACGACCGCACAAAGCTGGAGATGAGCCTTCCTGGCATGGTGACGGCTGGCCTATGTAGTTACGGGTAGTGATTGCCAATGCACCAGAGATATTGCAAAAAGCTAGAGTGGGTAGGAATGACGGCGCGGATGAAGCGGAGAGTGAATGAAGTATTATGCCCAAGCAGAGCAAGCAAAGCAAAGCAAAGCAAAGCAAGCAGCAGCCAGACAAAACTAAAAAGAGTGACTTGACTGACTGCTGCCTCTTCAATCCAACCTCACTTCTGGCGTATATTCTCGTTGCTTCTTCTGATTCTCTTCTTATAGTTCCGATTTCGTCCCCAAATTCGTCATTGGAAGCTTGCCCAGGTATTCTATACCAACCAAACAGGGTTCAACCCGATAATACTTTGAGTCTCAGTTCAATATCCCGACCACTGAAAGAAGAACGTCGATAACTCGAGGAAGGCAACCTGGGTGATATATATGCTGTCAAAACTGAGTATAGCAGCTCAGAAAAGTCAAGCTTCAAAGAACAAAAAAAGGGCAGAAAACTCGTATGGAACCAATCCCGCCGCCGATGTATTTCGCCGTAACGGGCGAGTAAAATACCGACCAGTGGCAACAAAAGCGGGTATTGCTCGGTTTCCGCCCCGCCAGCTCGTTCTAGACTTTATTTCTTGGGATGAAATTTTTTATACTTTTTAGACGGATCGGCATCAGGTTAATCCACTCTCAACTCTCACGGCCCTATTGTTAGGTTGACGGCTCAGGAGTCAGGGATCACACAGCCTATTATTATTAAGTATGGTTCCTCAGGTCTCTTATCTAACCCTTCCTCGTCCTCCTCCCTCCGCGTTCTGCACGAATGGGATATATGGTTGGCATGGCAGCAAGGTTCTCGCGCCGCCTACTGAGGATAGTCCTACGAAAAGTATCCTAGTCTCCGCGGGCCGCGTGAGTGCGCGTTAGCAATTAAGAACAATATTAGAAAAATTATCCATAATACGAGAGGAGCTGCCGTCACCTGAACCTGGTGACCATCCCCGCCGCAGCAATCGTTGTTGATGAACTCTGCACGTCTTGCTGCCAAAGATGTCATGGCGCGCATCACGACGCAACCAATTAAGCTCTGACTCAGGCCAACCAGTGCGCGGCCTTGACGTGTCTAACGCCTCTGCCGCTAAGAAAGCCGCTAAGAAAGCCGCTAAGAAAGCCGCTAAGAAAGCTTTTCTTCGGCCATTTTTATTGTTCAAGCGCCATGGCCAGCAGCCCATGTCAAGGGAGCTAGAACTAGGCCTAAATCCGGAATAGAATAGCCTCAATGGATTAGTGGGCTACCTGAGTGATCAGGGGAGTTCCCAGCTCATTGAGTTGATCCATTTGTTATAGGAGGATACTATTATGACGTACATGGGAAAAACTCGCGCGTGTCCTACAGTCTTTCTACCCCTTGGCCCCTTGGGTTGTTCTCCCAAGTTCTAACTTCTTAAGACGACTCTGCACCAGGGGAAAGAGAGCAGACAAGCCAGAGCGGGACTCTAAACAGCGGGTACCCAAGCTTTGAAGCCCCGTTGCCTCGGTCCAGTGGATGCCAGGGTGGTGCTAATATTATTATATGGGTTATATGGGTGGAAAACAAGCTTACCAGGGGCAAAGTTGAAAATTACAGCTAAAAAAAGTAATTTCAAGTCCAAAATGGCCAGTGAAGACAGCAGAAAATATGAAAAAAAAAAAATGAAATTTTTTTTTGAGAAAGTAGTAGACATGGGGGGAAAAGGGGAAAAGGGGAAAAAGAGTCTCCATCCATCTAAAAAAACACACCAAACCTTCACTGATCCATATAGTCGACTCCGGCAGGGTTTTCCGCAGCCACCTTCCAAACCTTGCAAGCAGCAACGTGTCCAGGACTCCAGTGGCAGCTTTGCTTTTTCATATGGCAACCTCAACTCAAGTTCGGGATAGGATAGCCTCTAGGCTCGGGCCACCAAGCTAAGCGGTCCTTGCAAGCGCTGCAGAAAACTCAATTCATCAAATCATGATTGCTTGTGGTCAATTATATATGCAGGGAACAAACAACGTCAGAACAACATCCAACAACTACTCCGTACTTCGGATATAAAGTATTCAATCAGAATCAGTGATGGCTCGCCATCCAATAACGACTATTAATTCCAGAAACAGAGGTTCCCGCCTGGATGGGTCCGACACTACACTGGGGTACCTACCCAGCTCAGATGCCGGCTTTTCGTGAGCACCCTTGGAGATAAACCTAACAAACATACCTAGGTAAAATAGCTGAGACTAGAAAAGGCAACAGAATCATCTCCAACAGGGTGCTGGGATTACTCAGTAACTTTTTTGTGCCACCGCCCTTCGGACTTTGGTAGATTTTCGGTGTTTAAAAAAAAAAAAAAAAAAAAAAGAAAAAGAAAAAAAAGAAAGAAAGAAAAAAAAGAAAAAGAAAAAAAAGGGAAAAAAAAATCTCACCCCGTGCTAAGCTAAGCAGTCGATCATGCAAGTGCCTTCCTTGGCGCCTTCTGGGCGTGAAGAGTCGCTTGCTACGTCAGCGTCCGGAGTACTGTACATATCTGTATGGCAATATCTGAATATTAATAATTATGATCATGAAGATTTAGGAAGTTTTGCGATGTTCGAAGTGTACGCTAGAGACTGAGATTATTTCAAATAATCATTCATGAAACTATGTCAGGGTCGTAAAATATTATTTCTTGATTGCGTTACACTCGGCTTGCTGATTTGCTGATTTTGTAGTTGATCTCCGGAGTTTGGGGTTCTGAATATGAACCCCCCCGCCGGCAAGAAGGAAGGATTGATAAATCCGCCCAAGTTCAGAGTCTCTTAAGTTCTAAAATGAAATGGTGAGATTGATTCTCTCCATGCTCCCATGGTATTTATTTGGTTTCACCAATGTTAGTTAGCTTACAAACAAAAAGTCTACATCTCATATTTTCAGTAAATACTCTCAAGACACTCGGGAGATTATATCTAGCCGGGCCCTGCGCTGTAGACATACACGGTTTTAAGATCTACGCTGTCACCTGTGTATTACTATTAATATAAATTCATAGTGTCAAATTCGACTTCTGACGATTCTTCTTGTAGAGATAATAGAAAAGTAGATTGACAGTAATGAGTGTGTCGCAGTAATGTACATGGACATGTGCATACTTCCATACAATCATCTTCAGCTGATGCCTCTCTTTGAGATTAAAATTTAATACATGACTGGAGTGATTAAGGCTTGCTGATGTCATGCTCAGCACTGTGTTGTATCGAATTTGTCTCTGTGTAACTGGTTCACTCAATTTTCATAAAGTTAAGTTTGGTTGAACTCTTTGGTGAAATACATTTCAGAGTACATGCAATGCAAATCGACCACAGAAAGACACCAGATATCAAATCTATGTGTGCAATATGGTCTAAAATTATACTAACTATTCCGTGTTCAATTCTTTGAACACCACCCACACCCATTGAGGAATGTTGCGTTGCATGCATGGTTAAAAACGTAATTCCCGCATTAATATTAATCTTCTATGCAAGAATGAGCCAAGTACTATTCATAAAACAAATAACCATATACAAATTGCAGCTGGGTGAGGTTACCAGATCTGGAAAAGTTCTCCCAAGCCCTAGGTATTAATTTCACCACAACCACACCGGCGTCGTATCCAACGAGGATCCGGGCCTCTCACCGATAGATCTAGCTGACCGTAAGTATATGGAATAAGAAGAAGTGCTCAGATCCCGACTTGGAGGGGGGAATCCCTTGCGGCTATCCATGCGGTTCTTGAGCCAAGTAAGATTTTTTTTCGGGGTCCCCATACCAAAACAGCCCCCCGTTCCGTTGCTGTCAGAGGATGGAGATTGTATATGTATGAATGAAAGGTGTCCCAGAGTTAGCAATAAGTCCGTTTAATTGTTGTATGGAAACACTACACTACTTTATAGAAATGGTTGTACTGTACAATGTACAATGCAGTACTCCTTGCGGATATCACGAGGAATTACTACTGTTCTCACCCCTGGCGCTGGCTCCCAGAAACCATGAACGGCAGAGTTGGCCCATGACCTCTCTTCTCCGAAGCTTCTGGGCTGTCTGATGCCTGGCGAATGGCGGGGAGATCGGGGGCCGAGCAAAAGTACGACAGCACACAGGCCCAATTGGGTTAAGAATCTTCATCGTTGACATGAAAACGGCAGGGAGTCGTAAGTTTGACAGCCATCCATTGCGACTTAGCTACCAACAGATGAAACAGATGAATTTTCTCTATCAATGTTCGACAGACAGCGGAAATTAGAAGGGAAGGGGGAACTAACCAGCTCAATTTCATTGTTAAAAGGTTCGAAAACATACAAAATTGCAAACCACCCCTCCGATATTTATATTTGCACTCTTCAGCCATCTTATCAAAGTCAGTCTGGTTGCTTTCACATATATGTTGAAGAACAACCCCCGCCAACCAACACATATGAGGTCCGCGCGAGGCCGTTTCATGAAATCTGATCCGCCGCATCATTGATCGATCGATTGATTGATTGATTGATTGATTGATTGATGATGAACAAAACTTCATCCTAGCATGGGGATGTTAGGAGATGGACAGGCCCCCTTGCAAAGATATGCCGAAACACAACGGGTCTACAGATCCCCGGGGGGGCGGAAGGTGCTTGTAGGAGCAAAATCGGGATATCTCTCTGGGAAATGGTAACACCCACACTCTTCGGCTTTAGGGAAGCATATCTGGTGTGTTGTGCGTTGTGTTGAGTCGTGTCATTTTCCACAAAAGAGCTTGCTAGAGAATTTCTCAGCCCTCTTCTGGATTTCAATGAGTCTCATGATGATGAAAGCTTACCTAGGTAGGATGCCCAATGAAAGAATCTGATCTTGTCATATTGGAATTTTTATATTCAGAGAGCAAAGACACGTACCTAAAGCAGGGAGGGGAGGCAGGTCTATTATGATTGTCGCCAGTGCCAGTGCACACCTTGAATGAATTTGTCCAGGGGGATTGTTTACCCTGAAAGAATCCGTCGAAGAGCGTTTATAGGCCGAATATTTATCATCACTTGCTCAGCACTCTGCAACATGTATATTATATGAACATCAAAGTAAACCTGTAGGTGGTCTTGTTGATAGAATACCGATTGCTGGTACCTAGCCTAATGTAGTTAGTGATACATTTAGTTATTTAGACCAAATTTAGCATGGAAAGGTTTTGTACTTTTTTCCTAGATACACAACCTATTTGACCTCTCGAGTCTCAAGGACAGGGGGAGGAGTAGTAGTATTTATTTAGTAGCAAAAGGCTTTTTTGCCTTATCAAGTGAGAGAAGGAGACATGAGAATGCCAACTAAATAGGTGCGGGAATTCAGGCTTGCAGTATTTAACTAGTTATATCCTCCGAATCTATTCTTCATAAATGGAGAAATTATCGATTTGCAGGCATCTTTCATCATCTTCATTTAGAACCTGCAACTTCTTATAAGTAAATAGTATAAGTAGTCAATCTCATCCTCTCTATATATACAGACAAGGCAGTCAATGTCAATAATGAAACCATACCGTCATTCCAGCATGAGCGAACTTAAAAACTAAACCATCCATTTAACTAGTGTCTAGCTAAAATCCCGACAAGTAACTAACTAACTATTTATTTAACTAGAAGCCATCGTATCGTATCGGCATTCGTGACTAGCGAGCTCTTCGCTCTTCTCCCCCCCTTTCTGCCTTGATAGATTGAAACCTTGAAGCCGATCATGCCACGTTACCCGTTCGCGCCATCCACTGGCTCTCCCCAATGGATGCTGAGATAAAGTACTGATTGATATCTTTCAATTGATTGATCCACGGCAGCTCCCTCCTCTAACTGTTTCTCCCGCGAATTGAGGCGAGGGGAGAGTGCGCGTTCCTTGAGTGGATGATTCGCGTGTCTGTCTGTTGATTGAGGAGCGCGCAGTATCGGGATCGATTCGTGCTTCCAATCCATTTAATTTTTTATTTTATTTTTGAAGACTAGATATCGAATTGGATCTCCAACTATCCTACTTCGCTGCCTCTTATACGATATAATTGGGTTTGTGACATCTTTCCGCGCAGGTGTGTACATCCATCCATATAGAACAGCGCCTTATTTATCGCTATCGCAGAACACCGACAGACAAACACCCTTCTCATCCAGCCAACTATTTAATTTAAATACAACGCGAAACTCCAGCGTCCTCAGGTTCCCGCCCGTCAGGACCGCGCAAATATCGCAGCCATGGATGATGTCGACATGAATCCGACTTTCCTCACCTTCGCCCTTATCCCTGCTTTCCTCCTTTTCTTCTGGACTATCTCCTCGACAACCGCCTCGTCGTCCTTTGGCCTTTCATTCCCTAGCGTGCGCAATAAGAGGATATGTCTCTTGATCGCCCATCCAGACGACGAGGCAATGTTCTTTGCGCCAACACTGATAGCAATGACACGGCCGGAGTTGGGAAATCATCTGAAGATCCTCTGCTTGAGCTCTGGTATGCGCTTCCTGCTTGGGGGGAGAGTTCTATTTTGGGCTGCCATGTTTTATATAGGATATTTCTCCCCCTTGGCCATGAACATATATATAAAAAGAAACCACTAACTAGAGCAAATTACTTTTTTTTTTTTTAACAAAAAATACAGGTGACGCAGCCGGCCTCGGCCCCATCCGTAAAAAGGAACTAAAAGCCAGCGCCCTCCGCCTCGGCCTCCGCAGCGAAGCCGACGTCTTCGTCGTCGACGACCCCTCCCGCTTCCCAGATAGCATGACCGCAACCTGGTCCGCCGCCGACATTTCCACCCTCCTCGCCTCCGCCTTCGCGCCCGACCTCCCCTCCACATCCTCATCGTCAACTAACGGCTCCTCTTCCAAACCATCACCCAGCAATAGCAACAAACCACCCACAGCCACAATCGACATCCTCGTCACCTTCGACCAGTCAGGCGTCAGTAACCACCCAAACCACCGCTCCCTCTACCACGGCGCGCGCGCCTTCCTCCAAAACCTCATGAACGGCAAAAGCAGCTACGCCTGCCCCGTCACCCTCTACACGCTGACGTCCACAAGTATCCTGCGCAAATACATCGGCGTGCTGGATGCACCGCTGAGTATGGTGCACGGGCTAGTGGGCGCGGTATTTGACCGGAAACGGTCGGCGAGCACGGCCAGGGAGAGGCAGCCGAAACGGTTGCTGTTTGTCAGTGGGGTTACGGATTGGGTGGCTGGGGTGAAAGCTATGGTGTGCGCGCATAAGAGTCAGATGGTCTGGTTTCGATGGGGGTGGGTGTCCATTGGGAGGTACATGGTTGTCAATGATTTGAAGCGGGAGACGGTATGAGTTTCTATATCTTGGAAAGGGGTTTTGAGAGCTATAGGGAGTCTGGAAGGAGGCGGGGGGAAGGGTGGATGGATTTGAAGCACAAACATATGCTGTTGTAATATTCCCCTTGTACCATAGTAGATGCTGTAAGTTTTCATATATTATACATACTATATACGGCATTTTATATATAATATAACATTGGTTATCCTCTTTTTTATTATTATTATTGTTCTATAGCTCAAGGTGGCGGCTAGTTCGGCGGAATGTATGCCAAATGAACGGAGGTAAGAAAATCAAGCGCAGTTTTAAACGCGCCTGAAAAACAAAAATTAGAACGCTTCTAACACAGATATATCCGGTTATAATAGTACATTATCCTATTGCAAGCCCTGGAATGCACAAGAGGAAGCAAAACTGCTGGGAGTAGGAGACCAAAAGGGGGCAGGGCACGTTAGGGTAACCTAGCGATGGGATGGGTTTTTTTTGGGAAAATCCGAATCCTCTTGGCATAAGGAGAAGGCTAGAGAAAATGGGTAGAGGCGTGAGATATATAGAAGACAGTATGGGGAGGGTTATGGTACATCTGGTAAATGGTAGATGCCATGAAGTCTGGTGCGGTGAGGGAATTATATATCGAATATATTCAAGACATGTGTTATGTGTCATTCTAAAATTGACCAAGAAAAAGAAAACGAAGAAACACCAAACTAGGAGGAGGCCTGGGCTTCATCTGCCTCATAAACCTCCTTCCTCATCATGAGAATCCGCCAGGCGCGCATCGGGATGTTCACCAATGACTTCAAATACATCTGTTAGCAATACGCTCTTTTCCGAGTCGTAAAGGCCTATTTCCAAATCAGTGACCCCTTTCTCCGGTCGCTCGCGTTTGCCGTGGGGCCAGAAGCTGATAGGCAGGAACTCTACAACACCATTTCTAATCTTATAGTATACATTCTCCGGCAGAAATGGCTCCCACTCTTGTAGAAGGCTTGGTAGGCGTTGACGTTCCCAGTAGTCGGCGTCCGGAACCCATCGTCGGGATATCAGCAGTCGGACCCATCGTTCGATCATTGTCGCGTCGCGACTAGCGTTCAATTGCTCCAAGTTGAAGGCTGCCTTCATGGCTCTATATTTCTTTATCATGGACAGATTGAGGGCCGAAGGGCCGAATTGGCCGTGTTTGTTGAATTGGTCCCGTTCTACTTCTTCGTCCCGTTCCGCTTCTTCGTCCCGTTCCACTTCCTCTTCTGCTTCAAGTTGGGCGATCCGTTTCATATGCTTCCGTGCCCAACCCCGGTTAAGATATGGAGGAGGGATCCCCGTCTCTTGGGCCTTCTTGTCTGCACGCAAGAGTGCAATGCGCCGTCTAGCCATGTCCGCTTCGCTTTGGGCTCTTTTGGCCTTTAGTGTAGCTAGAGCTCTAGCGGCTGGGTCAAGGGGTGGTCCTGTTGGCATACCTACGCGGGATTTCTGGAGGCTGGTTAGTAGCCGCTGGTAGCTATCCTTCAGCATGACCTCCGTTCGAATATTTGCCGGTAGAAGGCTCAAAATATGGCCAACAAACTTGCGCTTCGTCGTATTTCGCCTCCTTAAAGTTTCCTGAAACAATTTGTATCCTTCACGCATATATTTTAAAGTATCGTCAAGATCATATCGCGACCAGGATGTAGAAATGAGCATATCGTAGACTGGTAGCGTCGGCTTCACGTTATATGGACTCGAGATCATGGTATCGAACAGTCTTTTCACAGTTTGCGGGGGAACTTTTCCCACACTGTTTTCTACAGCTCTGGGGCCCCATCTTCTGACGGAGAGGACATAGGACCATTCCATTAGTTCCAGCCAGACAAAGTCTGGAATCGGAACTTGGTATTGGGTAGAAATAAAATCGACAAGCTGTAGTGCTGCGGAGAGGTTGTTGTTCGAACCAAATATATGTGCAACAGCATACAAGAGTCGAGTTGTTGGATGTAGCGGGTTTGTGCGCCTGAATTCGGTAACAGGAGGTATGTTGGCTGGATCCTCACGAGTCATTATCAACTCGACGTCGATATTCCACACGGTTTTCAGAACATTTTCCACGGCGACCATGTGACCCTCTCTGCTAGAAGCAACCATAACATTGACATAAGTGGCTTCATCGGGTTCTTGGCCTCTTGCAAGCATCTCGTCAAACAGCCGAAGTACTTGCTGCCGAACACTGTTCTCGCTGCCAGTACCGTATCCTTGATAACCCAGATTCCTGTGGTCATAACTCCGCTTCCTATAAACCCAAGGCGTGAATCGTAGGTTAAGTTTCTCCTTCGGTATGTACGCCTGGTGCCATCCTTTTGCCTCCATGTAGTGGTTATAGCAGGCGGTAGTTGGCTCGATCCCGTCCACGGTCATATCATACCACAGCCAATCCGCCATATCCGCATCTCCCATTGACCGGGCACAATCTAAAAGATGAGTATATTCGACAATTCCCAATTTAAATCCAGCCGCACGACGCTTCTCTATAGCGAAATGAAGCACCCGTTTGAATTCGTCAAAGATTACCTCGAGGGTTTTATAACCCTTGGCATGCGCCACGGCAGGGTGAAATCTCCTGTGTAATTTTTTATGGGGCTCGACAAAATGTGACGGAGCAAGGAGGGAGAGAGCTGCAGCAAAGGACGAATCGGGTAAATTATACGTGATGGATTGGATTTGCTCGGGGCCCAAAAAAGCATACACAACCATATCTGGCTTCTCCTTGTCAAAATAATCAATGATTTTATCATCCGTTGAATAGTATGTATCCATTAATTCTGAAGTGAAAGTTCTGTACGGGATGCCGTGCTGATTCTTGAAATCAGCTTCGGTCGGTCTGTGAGTGTTGAGATTGAACGACAAAGCCTGCATGAGGAAAGGAGACTCTGGCATTTCCGGATCTTTTGGTTTTGACGAATTCCATGCTGTCTTCATCTGCTTGAATGACCACGGAGTGTACGCTTCTGTCGAGAGTTTCTTTGATTGTTGGCCGATATTGCGGGTGCGGTTTCCGGGGCGCATGGAAGACCGGCGGAGGTAGCCATCACCGATAAGCCGCGTGCAGCATGACGGGCAGACAAAGCGAGAGCTCACTGCCTCGCTTCGAAAACCAATTCCTCGCATCAATGCTCCACGGTATCCTAGTATGGGCCGAATCGGGCGGGTCAATCGCGGCTGGCAATGTGATGCGTGCAAGCTATTCGTGAATCGTGATGTTTCCTGGAGCTTTTTTTTCTTCGGTTTGGAACTTCGCCAAGCTGCTGGTCGCGCTAAACCGCTTTGGGCCGCAGCTGGCTTTCCACCGTAACCCAATATACGCGAAAACATTTGCTTGCTCTGTTGAAGCTGACTGTCTGCGCGCCTTTATCGATTCCCCCCCATCTCGAGTTTACCTGCTGTCACCATGGCTGACGCAGATGTCGGGGGCGCAGCTCCTTTTTCGGAGCCCTTGGACCTTGTCCGTCTCTCGCTCGACGAGGTCGTCTTTGTGAAGCTTCGTGGAGATCGAGAGCTTAAGGGCCGCTTACATGTCAGTGGAAGTGGAATTCCCGCAATTGTGGTTGATTTACGAATGGTTTGAATTATGATATTAACCCGTTTATCTCCTCCAGGCCTACGACAGCCACTGCAATTTAGTCCTAGGCGACGTGGAAGAGACAATTTACATCGTTGAAGAGGATGAATCCGAACAGGAAATTATCAAGGTAAGCTTCTGACCAGGCAATCATTGCCAGAGCCTGTCGGGGTTCCCTCAGTCGCTAACACTCGCACCTTTTCGCAGACAATCAAGAAGCAAGAAGAAATGCTTTTTGTAAGAGGTATGGAGCTTATATCTTCGCTGCTAGGAAATCCAGTCCTTCCGGCTAACCGATGACTACAGGGGATTCCGTTGTCCTGATTTCGCCTCAATCTCCATCATAGGCGCATCTAGCTATGAAATTTCAATGAATTCTGGGAATTTATGATTAACGACATCCTATTATGTGCTACGCCGGGAACAACACGCTGAGGCTGGAAATGCGAAGGCTTTTGCCCCAAGCTACGGTTTTTCGGTTCAATGACTCCGGGGCACAGGCGAGGTGGAATACGGATAAACAGTAACACATCTCTAGTGTTGTCAAGCCTTGCATAAGTATGGGGCTCTTAGATAGATCAAAATGGATGACTCAGTTGCCGCATGTCCAACATCGCTTCGGGACGACCATCGGCGTTCCGAAATATTTAGGCAAAACAAGACGTCCTGTTTTAACGCTGTATTTATATATTTTACTAGTCGTTAGCAGAAGCGAATCTGCAAGTAATAATATCTCAAACTGCAGTACCTTTTTTTTTTCTCCCTGGGTAGATCCGTGTAGTTTGTACGGTGGGTGGTTCTGTGTGAGTCAAGTTCGCTGGTCGCGATGACTCGTCGCCAGCAGATGTCATCTTGCCTCCGAATATTTTAACTATTTAACTACTTAAATGTACGCACTTCCCTTCTTCTCTATCACCCTCACCATCATAGTATCTTCCAGCATCTTGTATTTTAACACTTAATCCAGCTATTATTCTTATCATCACTTATCATCCATTTATGTACAAAGCAATGATACTCCGAATACACCTCTGAGCCGAGAGTTACCCCCATCGCTAGTGACCAACCTCGGACCGACCCGTCTACAAGCCTCCGCCACGACACAAGTGACATGATACCCGGAACCCACAAGCAGACACTGGAGGAGAGACGGAGAGGTGAACTGGTATGCCATGGATCCGCACAGATCTAACAATACTTATTCTCTCTGGCAATTTCTGTATGTCATGCGGCCATATTTCTAATCTACAGTACGCCCAACTAGGCACTCAGCGATTTTGCCGAATACGTCGAGAAGCAGCAGGCGCATCGTGTTCCTCTGTACCGCGATGTCCGTGATACTTCTGTAGCACCCAGCGACAGTGGCTATTCCACCGTGAGCCAGACGACGACAACGGAAGACCATGCGGAACTCGATATTCTTGACCAGCTAGGCCTGTCAGATAATGCCGGGCGGGTCGAGCTCAAACACCTCCTCCTAGATGACTCGACCACCGCAGATGATACACTGCAACAACTTTCCGGCGTGGTACGGGCTCGCATTGACGAAGGTCATGGGGAAACGATTTTCGATCTTGGCCAGGAAGACAACGGGGAATGGATGGGCTTCGACAGAACACAATGGGACACAGCCCTAGAACGCCTTCGCAGGGCCGCCCAAACTCTTCGGGCCGACTGCAAAGTGCTTCTAACCTACAATGTCGGTGGTCCAGAGGAAGCGGAATCCAAAAACGAACGGATCAAGTATGCGTACGGCAAAATCCTCATTCGACAAGCTGCAGCATCAGCAGAGAACGTGATAGAAACTAGAATCGCGGTTGTTGGAAATGTGGACGCCGGGAAAAGTACTTTGCTTGGTGTTCTTGTCAAGGGTAAACTTGACGATGGTCGTGGAAGAGCACGGGTCAATCTCTTCCGCCACAAGCATGAAATCGAGAGTGGTCGGACCAGTTCAGTTGGCATGGAAATAATGGGGTTCGATACCCACGGTGAAATCGTTGGACGTGGCCAAGGACGTAAACAATCCTGGGAAGAAATCGGCAGGCAATCTGCCAAAGTAATTTCCTTCTCGGATTTGGCTGGGCACGAACGCTATCTACGGACCACCGTCTTCGGAATGTTGAGCAGCAGCCCGAATTACTGCTTACTTATGGTTGCTGCAAATAACGGCATAATCGGTATGAGCAAAGAGCATCTTGGAATCGCACTGTCTCTGAACGTCCCGGTCATGGTCATAATCACCAAAATCGATATCTGCCCCCCGAATATTCTTCAGCAGACCCTTACCCAGTTGACTCGCATCCTCAAATCTCCAGGCGCTCGGAAGATACCAATATTCATCAAAACCCGGGAGGAAACCGTGAACACTGCTACCCAATTCGTTAACCAGCGGATCTGTCCTATATTCCAGGTGTCCAACGTTACAGGAGAGTCTCTCGATCTTGTCCGAACCTTCTTGAACATCCTGCCACACCATGGACATTACGACGCTGACGCGCCATTCGAGTTCCTTGTGAACGACACTTTCTCTGTTCCTTTCGTAGGCACCGTTGTTTCTGGAGTTGTGAAATCAGGGGTGATCCACGCCGGCGACTCTATTATGATTGGCCCTGACTCGCTTGGCCAGTTCCGCACCACAGCTATCAAGTCTATTGAACGAAAACGTATAGCCGTTCATGCCTGCTCTGCTGGGCAGTCTGCTTCTTTCGCACTCAAAGGTGTCCGCAGAAAGGAAGTGCGCAAGGGCATGGTCGTTCTGCCAAAGCTTGACCAGCCTCCAAAGGTCTATCGCGAATTTGTCGCTGAAGGTATGTTGTATTACAGCCTCACATATTTCTCTCTCATCTCCTGTATCCCTCCCGTAAAATGAAAATAATCAACTAATGATTATCAACACAGTTCTGATTCTTTCTCATGCAACTACTATCAAAACGAAGTATCAGGCTATGCTACACGTTGGCGCGGTGAGTCAAACATGCACCATCATCGACATAGACCGTGATTATATCCGAACTGGGGACCGGGCTTTAGTCGCATTCCGCTTCATCCAACGCCCCGAGTTTGTATCCGTTGGCGATCGAATCCTGTTCCGCGAGGGTAGGACTAAAGGGTTGGGAATTGTTAAGGCAGTTCGCTATGACCCCAGCAATCCACTGAACCCAAAAAATAAAGAAGGTGCAGAAGGAAATGGCCAGGTCCCACAGTAACAACAGGCTTACATACGTGCTCTTCTTTGCTTTTGTTCGGAAGGTATATATCCTCAGTCTCACATCGGCGTTCCCACATTAGCCATGATCATTTGAAATTTCTGCTCTTTGTGGTTTTATTCAATTGGTGTTCATGGGTGGTTATTATGACTGTTTGGGATGCGTTATTCGCTCATTTTTCTCAAGTTCGCTACTCTTTTCCCCTTTACTGTTTCCCCAGCTTCTCATTTAATGTGCATATTTGCCTTTTGATCTTTCCCCTTCCTTTAGTATTGAAGTTTCTGTCACTCATTCGCTCAAAATTGAGCATATTTCCAGACCCTTTGTACGGTTCGTGCATGAGAGTTTTGTGTGCATTTTGCATAAATAGATGAAGCAAGCATTGAAAGTATGCATACGTCAACCTTATTTGATCGACTTTATTTGATATTGATCAAATTTTTTGGTCCATTTTCTCTTCATTTCTTCTTCTCTTCTGGAATACACGTCATGAGGTAAGTTTCTACAGGGATTGTATAAATCCACTCTCAATATGATCATCATCTTTACCTAGAATCCGCGGGGTTTAGACATTGAACTCTGAACTCGAAAAAAATTGTTCAACAGCTTTGGCACCGACACCAACCCATGACGTCACTGCTACCACTATCACGACTCCCCTTTTGCCACGACAAGCAACCAGGAGTAAACAGAACTCAGTTGCGGGTGGAAATTCCACGGTTACCTTTAGGCTACGTTGACGTAGTTGCTTCAGGATTTCTTTTTTATGATCATGTATCATATATAAGAAGGAGATGACTTGAGTTTCCCTCATTTAGCTCTCCCATGTGAATTTTCGATTCTGATAATAGCTAACTGCAATTTATTTAGTCGCACTCGCCTATGAGAGCTTTGTTTCCATTATTTCTACATTCTGCGGCTAAAAGTATTTTGTGAAAGCCATTGATCGCGTCTCCTGTCAACAGAAAGGCTACTTTACAATAGTTATTTTTTACCTGCCACGCTACCATGGACGTTATCAAAAACGTCGTCGAGGCCGCTGAGAACTACCTGTGGGGAAACGATGAAGCATCCAACACTCTGTCGGGGGAGGAACCTGTGGCTGGTGTTCAGGGGAAAGGCACGGCGGCAGATCCATATGACTCTGGGAACGCACCAAGTACGAGGTAGCACCATTTAATATATCTATAATTTCCTGTTCCAAGGGATATACATCCAGCTCTGAGAGGCGCAATTTAACCCTCAAGTCAAGTCAGAAACGAGTGGTATTGAAATCATTTGGAAAATAAGCAGACAGGCTTGACTTCCCCTCTGAAACTAACTTTCCGCTAACACCTTTGTCACAGAAGACCTTGCCCTCGAGCATGCGAAAGAATCTGCAGAACAAACGAAAAATGAAGGAGGAGGGACAACACATGAATCGGAAAACCAAGGGACCATCCCACACGGCTTTGTTCCCGGTAGCGGCAGCAGTACAACTCCCTCAGGTGGACAGGTACGAAAAACAGAGCGGTCAAAAACCGAACCAGATGTTGTAGTAAAGAACCCCCTAGCAGGAGCTAGCGGTGGCTTTACGGCCAACGCACACTCTGAAACCAGCTCCATGCCGATCACATCTCCTCCCATGTTGGCAACTCCGGCTACGTCCAGAAATCCCCCTGCTGCAGGAGTCCTGTCACAGGACACTCATTTACCACCACCCCTTCAAGCCTCAATTGCGGAAGCTAGTGGGAGTAGGGGTAGTAGTAAGGGCAGTGAGCACCATGCAGCAGCAGCGGGAGCTGCTGCTGCTGCACGAATGGCCCCACCTCCCACCGGAACTAGCCATGTATCAGCTCCCCAGAAACCAAATGCTGCAAGTGCTCGTGGTCAGCCTCGGGCTCAGAATCCTCCGCTCGAAGAGCACCATGTATTCAGCACTGGATACGCTGCTGAAGGGGGTGATTTTGATGCTGCGGAGCCCGGCGCGGGGAGAGAAGCTGACCGTAAGTTCCAATTCATTTTACCATTTCCTATGTCTCTATCTATATGTATTTATTTTTACGTCCCTTGTTGAAAAGAACCCCTACTTTCTTAATAAAAAATTTCATTTGCCATGCTAAATAGCCAATACTTTTGCAGGCCTTCTAGCCGAACATCAT